GGAGTTTAGTATCACACACACATTTCAATTCTTAGGTAAGCTCCTGTCTACCTGCCAAGCCTCCTCTAGCAGCACTGTTCTGAACTCAATTGGAGCTAAATTGGCCCCTTTTCCAGTGCCTTGAGGGTAACATGCTCACTTGATATACTATTTCTCCTTCCTGGAAATTGTACCCACCTTCACTAATCATCTTTACACACACTTTGTACAGCTTCCTCCAGCATATCCTTTAGATTCTGGCTTAAACATCACTTGCCTATGGAATCATTTCATGCCTTCAAGTTTCAATTTAAGTAAGATTAATTTTTGTTTGCTATGAAGCCTTATTCCTTTCATTTATAGAAAAAAATGTGTCTATCCTTAAATATTTGATCATTTTTGTAAATATCTGATTAAGGACTATTTCTTCTGCTAGACTGTAGGTACCAAGAGAGCAGTCACCAAACCCACCACAGATGAGAAAGCATCAGCATTTGATTTTTAAGAAGGAGCTGAGAAATGGCTGCTATTCTTTCAGGTTCTAAGGAAAGCAGTCAGCTCAAAAATTACTCACTCCTGACCCGGAAAGGATGTGACAAATTCTCTTTTTACTTACTGTTTTACCTGTTACCTAGCACAATTTCTGGTACATAGAAAGAACATAACAAGTACTCATTGAAAAAATGAAAATAGAATGCAGAATATTAGAAATAGGTATGGTGATGTCCTCCAGGACTAGAGACTCTACATAAATTACCCACCTTATTTATTTAGCCAAACTATTTCTCAATAAAATTATTTATTGGCATCATTGTTTATAAATCAGACTTTCAGTCTACTGACATCCTAGAAGCCTCAAAGTTAAGGACAAATTTCTGACTGGTGGTGACATTGCTGAGGGACAAGCTGAACTGATGAGAGAATCAAATTAATTTACAACAGACTGCTCCTTCAGAATATTATCCTTCAGAAGCCATGCCATTTTTCAGAATCCCTAAGCATATGTTCTGATCTAACTTTGTTTTTCTTCAAACCTTTTAAAATGAAGACCTCTAAAAGTCTTTCAAAGTTAGAGAAAATGTAACTTACAGTTCATAGAAATAAGTCAATACATGTAAAGATGTTCTATGAGGAGTTATTTTTAGAGTTTTAACTCAAGATGATAAGTACAGCCCAGCAGGTATATCAGTTGGTTGGAGTGTCTTCCCACATACCAACAAGGTTGTGGGTTCAATCTTGGATGAGGTTGATGTTTCTCTCCCACTCCCTACCCCTCACTCGCCCTCTCCCCTCTTTCCCCTTCCTCTCTCTCTCCCTCTCCTTCTCCTTCTCTCCTTTCCTTCCCCCTCCCTTCTTCTCTCTCTGAAAATCAATGAAATCATATCCTTGGGTGAGTATTTTTAAAAATATGATAAAGGGCACATTTCTCCCTCAATGTACTAAATCAAGGACTCCTAATTTTCCCCATCTGCATCTCTTAATTACAGACCACTGAGTATTCATTTTGAGGCTCTGGATGATACTTCAGCTGACTTGAACAAAATGGATTAAGGCATTATGATGACATGGAAGATAATGGCAGAGAAAGAAGTTGTAAATGAACATTCAACACTATCAGACCTTGGGGAATATCTATGGATGACCAGACCTCACTCTATTAAAAGCTTCAAAGATTCTTCTCATGTCCCGGCCAGCCCCTGCCCCCCTTGTATGAAGTCCATATATCTATTTTCCTTTCCTAACACTCTTCATATTACTTTTAACAGAATTATTCTGGGAATATGACAGTTCACAATCTCAGATGTACATGTGGAATTTTTATTACATTGCAAAGGATACTTGTGTTGCTATTCAAGAGGCTCCTTCCAATGTATGTATTTAACTGTTATCTTATCCTTTATTATTTATTCTCTTTTCCTCCTCTCAACCAACTTCTCTTCCTCCTCCCTTTCCTTTTAAAAATTAAACTATGTAAGACAAAATTAGGTCCATTTGCGAAGAACCTAAGAAAGAGTCATCAGAATTTCAAAGACAAAAGAGAGCCCAGCATTCCAGGGCAATTCAAACCAATGGTTAAATAAGGCATAGAATTCAAGCATGAATTCCTCAGGGACTGAGGAAACTGATGGAATGAGAAGAAAGAAATGCTAAAGCAGGGGCTTTCTCACCACTTAATTCCTTCTAACTCTGACCATTTATACATATACACTAGTCTAGATTATCTAAAAGTAAGGTGACAGTAAGAAGCTATGTAGATGGAAAGGAGGACATCAAAGGGGGAAAGAAAGTTGAGAGGAAAAGAGGTTGGGAGGTAGTAGTCAACACAAATTAAGGGGCGAGACAATCTAACCTAATAATAGACAAACATGTAAATTGACTGTACCTCCACTATACCACCAGCCAATCAAGGAGTGATAGGCAAATTAACCCAACAAAGAGAGTGGTTAATTTGCATACACAGGCATTGAGTGTTGGGGGCGGAATGTTTATATCATCGCCATAGCGACAATGCAGGCATTCTGCCCCACCCCAGGTCTCTCAAGGCCTCTGGGCAGTGTGGGAAGACAGAGCCAGAACTGAAAGAGGTGGTTCCCAGAACTGAAAGAGGTGGGTCTGGGGACTGAGTGAAAAGGGCTTGGGCTGGAGTGGAAAAGCTGTGCTGGCAGCCAGGGAAAGGAAAGCCCATTCTAACATGAATCTTCATGCATCGAGCTTCTAGTCATGGATAAAGGGAGATTGAATTTGTGTGAATCAGGGATAGCCTATATATGCAAAGCTATTTTAGTAGATGTCTTGGGTGAAACACAGAAACCAAGATAAAAATGAAAGCAAGTAAGATAAATGTATAGAAAACCTTAGGACTACCACTCTTAATTTATCCTTACCTAACATCTCACCCTGTGAAAATTTGCCAGTTCTATGGACTATTTTTACAGGTGGTCTAGTCTCATAGGCATCACCTTGGAATAATTATTATATATTCCAAAGCCAGTAGTACTAGGTTTGGTGATGCTGAAATGGATTTATTTCAGTAGTTATTTTAATTGGAACTACTCTATGACTTAGAAACACTTTACTTTTTTTTAATTAGTCATTCTTCCTGTCTCTGCCCTCTAGCCTTCTTTTATCTTTTCTGAACATTTTGAGAAACACAGTATTAAAATTTTGCCATCCTTAATTAGGTACAACACTATTGTATCAGAATGACAGAATTCCTCAAAATGGGCACAATAGTGGTCTTTCACTAGTCCTTTAGGTGGTCATAAGTGTGTGTGTGTGTGTGTGTGTGTGTGTGTGTGTGTGTGATATTTGATCATATATTCAATGATTCATTATAATATTAGCAGTCCTAAGCCTTTTTAGATCTGTGATCCCTACAGTTTCATTGAAACATAAGCAATTAACATGAGTAACTAGTATAAATTAAATGCTCAGTTGTAGCAGCTCAAGGGTTTTCTCTTTTTTGTTTAATAATGGCAAGTAAGATAAAATTGTAGATTGGCAATCTAAAACAGTAACCTGAGGAAATGACATTTCCCTGGGCTAAAAAAGAAACCACAACTCATGTAATAAGAGAACAGATATAAGGCTTTAAGAAATGCTGTTGTAAGTTTAGTAAAAGAAACTATGTTTAGAACAACCTTGAGTTGATAAAGCTATTTAAACCCACACTGATTAAATCCTTAGATGTGTCAGACTACTGGTTCTGAACTATCACAAAGAAAAGCCAGAAGTTTGGTGAGTACAAAGAATACCTCAAATACAATCTGTAATTGTACATATATGTGACTGTACCTATCACATTGAGAACAATAAATTATATTTTTCACATATTATTGATGTTTTTGTGTATGGAGTTTGGATTTGTTGAAATTATTTTAAATTTTACAGTAAAACCTTATTATTCCTAATTAGGAAGAGAAAAGAAAAATATATTATCCATATTATCCTTTGTTTATATGTACTGGTCATGTTTCCAAGCACATAGTTACTGACTCAGCCTAGTGAGGGCTTAAAAGGCTAAGTATCATGACTTTATTTTTACAGAGTTAGAAAGTAGCTAAAATGAATCTGTGTTATTTGTGATTACTAATAGTGATTAGGAGGAGGATCAAGGGGAACTTCTAGGGAATTGGTGATGTTTTGATTTTTGTCAGTGGTGGCTGGATTGAAGTGATAATTTATTGGGTGTATGGTTTATGTATTTTTCTGCACGCATGCTATAGTTCAGTAAAATCCTTACTTTAAAAAAATAAAAAAACACCAAAACAAAAATAAAAATAAAAGGCTAAGTATCTGCTCCAACAAAACTCTCGTGACTTAAACATGCTGCTATGCCCTCATCAAGACTACAACTGAGCCGGGACTGGTTTGGCTCAATGGATAGAGCGTCGGCTTGGGGACTGAAAGGTCCCGAGTTCGATTCCAGACAAGGGCATGTACCTTGGTTGCGGGCATATCCCCAGTAGGGGGTGTGCAAGAGGCAGCTGATCGATGACTCTCTCTCATCGATGTTTCTAACTCTCTATCTCTCTCCCTTCCTCTCTGTATAAAATCAATAAAATATATTTAAAAAAAAAAAAAAAAAAAAAAAAAGACTACAACTGAAAACTTCCAGGAAAAAACACACTGAAGGTGTTCTATTTATGTTATCTAATTGAATGTAATGCTTTTTATGTTTTTTTTTCCTTTGTCCTCTCTTAAACTGCATGTTTAAAGTGGCATAAATAATATTCCCTTGATCAATCATCTAACACATGTTATTCAACTATAACAAAAAATTAATCTGCATTTATATATTTCCCCAAAGGCCAGGAGCTAGTATGAGCAAACAGTATATTGTTGATGAAAGGGAATTATGTACAAATGGGACATAATTTGAATTAGTTCAAATAAATACATATATATTACACTCAATATTTGTAATATACAAATTATCTTATAAACTTTCTAATTGTTTTCTAAGTAACAATTCATTACTTTAAATTTCATATTTAGTGTATTAAAGAAAATCATCTCACCTTAAGTTGTTCTTCCAAAGCAGTGGTTGCATGATCTCCACTAGATTCGTCAACTACTACCACCATGTGAGTGAGAGAATTGACCCTGACTTGTTCCTGTTCTAGATCTTCTTGAAGCACCTGAAAGATAAATTTTTAAAGTAAATTAAAATTTCTTCCCAAATGAATGATTTCTTTCTGCCATGTTTTGGGTAATATACTTTTTCTTTTTATTAAAACAGAACCAGCTAAGATACTCAGGAAATTTGTACATTTCTACCATCAATTGACATTAAAAGTATAAAGATAGCATCTGTTCAGAAAGGTATAGTAGGATATTCTGCCCCTTATCCCACATCCTCTCACTTTACAAGGACTTTTAACCTAAAATTACCTGCTGCCTCTGGCATATTCAATGTCTCCATCTCTAGAGCAGTTCTCCATTACCAACAAGAACAAAAAAAAAAAATAAAATAAAAAACATACTCTGCTTATGCAAGTAACCCTCCTGCTCCTCCCATAATAGTAGAATGTGTTCTTCTTCAATGAAGAAATATTTGTGTGTTTTTTTATACTTGCTCTTTCTACTTCTTTACCCAACTATTCTCTTTGCCCACTATCCCGTTAAAATATATCTATGAAGTTCGCCATCAACCTCCAGGTTCCCAAACTGAACAGCCAATTTTTTAAAATCATCTTACTTGACATTTTAATTACTAATCTAATTAACCACTCATTCATTCTTGTCATCCTCCTCTCCTGAGCTTCGATTATCCTCCCACCTCACTTATTGCTGCTTTTTAGCTTATTTGCTTGTTCCTTCTCCTCTGCTCAACTATAAATCAGATGTCACTCCTCTATCTAAAACCAATGGATTTCCATCATGCTAAAAAGGAAAATACAAATTCTTGCTGAAACCGGTTTGGCTCAGTGGATAGAGCGTCGGCCTGCAGACTGAAAGGTCCCGGGTTCGATTCTGGTCAAAGGCATGTACCTTGGTTAAGGGCACATCCCCAGTGGGGGGGGGGTGTGTGCAGGAGGCGGCTGATCAATGATTCTCTCTCATTGATGTTTCTAACTCTCTGTCGCTCTCTCTTCCTCTCTGTGAAAAATCAATAAAATATATTTTTTTAAAAAGAAAAATACAAATTCTTTACCTGTTATTTTTTTTCATGATCTAGCACCTGCCTACCTCTAGTCTAACACTGCACAGCATTCCTGCCCACTGATACTTTGACCTCTTGTTTCACAAATGTGTCAAGCTATTTTCTTGCCTTAATTGTTCTCCCTCCATTTTTAAAAATAATTTCTCCTCATTCAGGACTCAGTTTAATTAATTTATTTTTTGTGTTCATCACATCAAGTTTCCTTCCATCATTGTTTATGCCCCCTTAACCCTCTCCTACTGCCCCTCAACCTCCTTTCTCTTCGGGAACCACCATAATGTTGTGTGTGTGTGTGTGTGTGTGTGTGTGTGTGTGTGTGTATGAGGTGTTTGTTTTTCCTTTGTTTAATCCCACAGTTTAAGTGTCACCTGCCCAGAGATGCTTTTCATGGAAATACTATCTAAATCTACTTCTTAGTTACTCTTTTTTCTATCATTTTTAACATAACATTTTCACTACTATTTTCTTATGTATTAATTTAGTCATTTGTTGCTTGTATATAATTACTTTATCATTACATATTCCAAGCAACTAAAGATGGATAAATGTTGGTGAAGGCGAGATGCACAGATATATTCGTCCCTTCCTAACGCAATAGGCTAAATTAATTTTTTTAATATAATCACTAATGAGAACAGGTAACTACAAAACAGTATTTAAATCTTTAAAAATTCATAGTGTAAAAAATTGAAAAAATGCATAGACACAAAAAACAGTTGGTGACTGTCAGGGGGAGATTGGTGAGGGGAGATGGCAGAAGGTAAATGGGGGATATATGGTGATGGAAGGAGAACTGACTTGGGATGCTGAACATACAATAGAGTGAACAGATGATATACTGTAGAATTGTGCACCTGAAAGCTATATAATTGTGTTAACCAGTATCACCTCAAGAAATTGGATTAAAAGGAAAATTAATAAATAAAAAGCATAGTGTATAATGGTTTATAAAGATAGACAGATAATCAGTGAGATAAATAAATGGTAAACAGAGAAGGCTGCTCTTGAACCTAGACATCTTGCCTGGGAGGGCCAGTTCCCCAAGATATTATCATGATATACTGATTATTATTGGAAAATCCCAGAGAATATGCAAAACCTCAAATCATCCATTTTGCTTCTTAGAACATTTTTTTATATAATACAAGAATGAAGAAGCAAGTTTGGCATAAGGCCTGTTACTTTCTGGAAAACTTGCAGCCCCTACTCGTGAACAATGATGCTTGACATCTATCAGGCTAGCTTACTTATTCAAACCCTATGGCAGATATAAAAGAAAGTTATTAGGTTTGGCTTAAAACACACTCAAATACATGACCATTTTTATCCTAGGACTTTTGTTCTTCAGATCTGAACAATTTAAAGCAGTATAAAATGACTTACTTTTACTCCCTCTCTCCAGATTTTCATGCTACATTTTCAAGCGAAGCAATTTAGAATAAAATGACTATGCATCTATTTTGTGTGCAGATTGTATACTGTCGATCACGCCTTTGACATTCCACAGCTTACACTGGTTAATAAAACACTTTCTTCTCTGAGGCCAAAAATGGAAACATTAACATTCAGAGTTGTCCTTGAAAGTCATGTTGTGTCTGAGGTTTTCTGAATTATATAAGCCAGGATCGGGAACATTTCAAATGTGATAGCCAGGAATTTAAAAAATAACCATTACAATAATAATTTGGTAGCCAATATAGCATAAGTTGGTTTATTTAATTTAGCCAATTCTTTTTTTTCCCATCACTCAAGTACAAGAGTGCATATAATTACATATATTAAAATCAATAAGAAAATAATGCAATACTGTTCAATTTGTACATGTAAATTGTTATTTTTACTGTTTTGACATATTTTAGTAAAGGAACTTAAGTATTGTTTGATCCATGAATTGCTTACTGTCAAACTCAGATTGAGCTTTTTTAAAGCATATGTGATTAAATGTATTATATATTTTCTCCAGTACTTATATTTCTGATTTTGTTTTGATCATCTATTTGTTTTATAATCTGAAATTGCCCTATTGATCAGGGTTTACATTTTATGCTTTTGCAGCAGTGCAAAATAACTGCTTGTTGTGAGCAGATAGTTTTAGAATCACATAAGAACTACCTGGACTTATATTGAGTAGAGGAAAATGTGAAAAATAAACAAACAAACAAAACAGGAAAGGCTCTCCATGGTGGCGGAAAATCATATTGAGTGAATAGCACCGGGGTAGATTAGCATAAACTCTATATTCAGTTATTTCCAGTATCTCTTCTCTTTTCTACTTATTTAAATTATACTTATACTTTTGCTCCTAATCAGGGATTAGAATAAAAAAGGTTAAACTGGCCTTTTGAGAACAGTCAACAGCTGCAAGACAGAAGCTACTACAATGCTGTAATTGTTTCCTTTTTTCCCCAGTCCTTAACTCTGAAAATAATTATTAATGAATATCATAGCATTAGCTAATCCTCCATGTCAGAAAAAGACAAAACACTGTAAAATAGTCAATGCCGAGAATTCATTTTTTAAAAAGCTGATTGTTAAAAGCAGCAAAAATGACACACACAAAAAGGTGAGTCTAGAAAGTTAAATTTTTCTGCCAACCTAAGTATCCAAAATAAGAGTCATGATCATTGGTATAAGGTATATGTTCCTGCTTCCTTTGAGAAAACATGGATTCTCAAGACTACTAATTTTAAAAATACATTAAAGTTGTATAAAGTCATTTTAAAATTAAATTTTAATTAAATATTTACTTCTTATGGATTTGAAGTCCCCTTAGCTAGTTATATACAATGGAGATTTAGAGTTGATTTGCCAATTAAGCCTGAAATATGAGCCCAATACAGATGTACCCACAGAAAAGTACACTAATATTTCTGCCTATCAGAAGATAATGCATTCAAGTAAAAATGTTGTAATATTGTTAGGGTATGTTTTTCTTTATTAAAAGTATGTGACTTGGGGAATCCAAGATGGCTGCACAGGTAAACACCTAACCGCAGCCGCACACAACAATTTCAATAAAATACAACTAAAATATAAAATGGACATTACCCAGAACTACAGGAAAGTCAACTGACTGGAAATTCTACAATGAGAAGGAAAGAGAAAACCAGAAGGAAAATCAGAGGAGCTGTAAAAGCCTAAGGTATGGAGACACACTGCGGGTGCCGAGAGGACAGAGCCGGAGAGGAGGGGTGGCTGAGTGCCTGGCTGGCGTTCCCTAGCGGGAAGGAGATAAAAGCTCCGTACTGTGCTGAACCCCAGTTCCAACTGCTCTGAACCCCAGTTCTAGGCCAGACCCAGGCTCATACAGAGGGAGCCGGGGCTGTGAGTCAGAATCCCAGGGGAGCGGCAAAAGGCAGAGCCCCGGAGGGGTGGACATTGTGCGCAAAGGATGGACTGTTGACTCTGCTGCCAGATTGCCCTAGCGGGAAGGAGACAAAAGCTCTAACTGTGCTGAGTCCCAGTTCTGACTACTCTGAACCCCAGTTCTAGGCCAGACCCCGGGGACCCAGGCTCATACAGAGGGAGCTGGGCTCTAAGGTGGAAACCCGGGGGAGTGGTGAAAGGAGGTCCTGGATGGTTGACTATGCCACGGGATTGCCCTGGCGGGAAGGAGACTAAAGCTCCAGACTGCTCTGTACCCCACTTCCAACTGAACTGAACCCCAGTTCCGGGCTCATTGGGGGAGAGACTAGACAGTTTGGTAGCAGGCAAAAATCGAGGACACCTTTCTCTCAGAGGTGCTTGCAATGAGTAATGGAGGACCCTGAGGAATACTGAGACTCAGGAACCTCATAGGGCGTGGCTGATGGAAGCCAAGGCTGTAGGCTCCACCCTGAAACTCCACCCTGTCCAGGCTGAACACAGAGACTTTTAAGGCTACCAACTCAGGGAATCTGGGAAAATGCCGAAACAAGGAAACAGATCACAATCAAAAGAAATGGAGGACAAAAAGCGACTGGATATAGAGTTCAA